GCCATTGGTTTTGCACAGATGCCCTTTATTATGTTAAGAAATTTCCCTTCTACACCTATTTTATTGAGAGTTTTTATCAGCAATGGGTGTTGGACTTTGTCAAATGCCTTTCTGCGTCAATTGAGATGATCATGTGATTCTTTTCTTTCCTTTTATTTATGTGGTGGATTACGCTGATTGATTTTCTAATGTTGAACCATCATTAGAAAGACTTTTTTAAAAAGAAATTGGAGTGCCACAAAAGGTTATATATAATATAAAGTACAGAAGACTTCAAAATCCGTAACGTTAAGGTTAGGAATTGAAAATAATGATCCCACTATGAAAAACGACCCTAAGAATAAGGGTTTTATTTTTTTGGTTTGTGGTACCCATCCTCTCTTTTCTGCAGAACAGCCAACTTAGTTGTTATAGTGTGTTGTCTTATTCTGGGGTTGGTCTGGCTCCCTGCTAGCATTATACTCTTAAGCACAATATTTCTCTTTTGCTAAGTTTTTGGTATGTATGTGATTTAACCAGTTGGTTATAATTGGTATGGTTATATATGTAACACTATCTAATTCTGTATAGTGCTTTGCTGATAAGATTATTAAAAACTGCTAACTAGTAAATACTGAAGCAAAAAATATTGTAAGTACAGGTTAGCAAATAATAAGACAGGAAATGTTTAAACTGCTATTAATGTGTTTTCAGTCATTCACATTTGGAGGAAACTACAGATTAGAAATAAAATATTCTTTTTAATGTGCTAATAGAAGCATATTACCTATGGAAACATATATAACATTCACTCATTCATTCATTCAATCAATATTTATTGACACCTATCATGTGCCAAATACTATTCTAAACACTGGAGATCCTGCAAGGAACAAAAATTCTTGCCCTTCTGGAGGTTTCTGTAAACACAATTCCTAAGACTGACAATGAGTTTAAATTAAAATAACTTAAGCCTTTTAAATAGTTTCTCACAAGTTAAGAGATCACAATGAAGAGGTTTTTAGAAAGAAGTAGACTGTTATAAGAACTCAAGAAAAGGTTTAAACACAGAAGAAAACATTCTTTGATGGTTACAAGGATGGGGAAGGAGGGAGGGGGTATTCATTAACTAGGTAATAGACAAGAATTATCTTAGGTGAACCAACCAACCAATCCATTGCTGTCAAGTCGATTCCAACTCACAGCGACCCTATAGGACAGAGTAGAACTGACCCATAGGGTTTCCAAGGATTCAGTCAAACTGCCAGCCTTTTGGTTAGCAGTCATAGCTCTTAACCACTACGCCACCAGGGTTTCCATCTTAGGTGAAGGGAAGGACAACATACACTACAGGGGAAGTCAGCACAACTGGACTAAACCAAAAGCTAAGAAGTTTCCTGAATACAACCAAACACTTTGAGGGACAGAGTGGCACGGGTCTGGGGACCATGGTTTCAGGGGACATCTAGGTCAACTGGCATAACAAAGTTTAT